CCCCAAAACCCCAAAACCCCAAAACCCCAAATGGGCTGGTGTATGTTGAAGAATTTTTATATAAAATTGTGTTCTAACTATTTGGATGAACTTCTTATTGGATTTATTTGTATTAACTCTTTACTTGATTTACTAAGAAGTTAATGTGCACATTCTATCACCTCTTTCATATAACACCTTCGTTCTTCTCCAATATCTTAAACCTAAAAACTTCACCAACTTTGCCATCAGAATAACCTCACCCTAAATTTCATAAAACACCTTCTAACCCACTTCCCAATATTGCTATCTACAACCCCACTACATATTTCCAAAAACGCACACACAACAGACATAATATCAGATGTTTAAAAATTAAATATTCCACCTTAATCATCAAGCTCAATTATAGTTTTCCCCATTTCTTCCGGAAGTTCCTGGACGCTATTATCTTTCTTCTCCACGTGATTTGGTACTAATCCCTGCTCTATCAACACTTGGGCATCTTTCTGGTCTTTGTAGATTCTTTTCTGCTCTTTGTAAAATCTTTTCAGCTCTGAAGATATGACTGGTGTGTACTTACCTCTTTTGTTCGATACTCCATATGATGGATTTCTCTTACTTGATATCACTAATTTCCTTACTGCTCTTGTGTACTTCCTTTTTGTTTTGGTGATTGGATCCTAAAGAAATATTAGAAAGTTATAGATTAGAGTGGTTAAAATATGAACCACACTTGAGATTTTCAAGAGCTTGATTTGAATCAGCATATGCTGATTTCGAAGATTTAGAGATTAAATCTACTATCTAAATTTACTTACGGTAGCTTTGGCGATTCCCTCTTCAATCTTGAACTTATCCATCGATATCTCTTGCACAGGTAATGATTTCTGGTCTTCAATATCATTCTCTTCCGTCGCTTCTAGAATTTTATATGATTTTGGTAAAGAAAGAAGTTTGCAATAAACATACTTAAAATAGCTTAAGATTCAGATTTCTTGTAGATCTCTAAACTAGCAGAATAACTTTGACTAAATCTGTGATTATAACTTCAAGGAATTGCAAATCCAGCAATTAGAACAAGTAATTTTTATTTGAAGTACATTAAAACTGGGGTGCAATAAAGGGTTATATTTTGATAAGTTCAGTAAATTCTATCTATGAACAGAGTCTTGAAGCATTTAAGCTCCTAATCTCTCGCAACCGTTAATCCACTAAGAAGTAGTAATTTTATTGTCTTGCAAGTTTGCTGGCTAACAGATTTGTATAAAAGTACTTGAAGATTTACCTTCGGAATTTCTAAAATGCACAGAAGAAATAATATAGCTTACCTATCATGGACAGATTTGGACAAGGATTAGTCTTAGCAGATAATTTATATAAATGAGAAGATGAGTCTCTCATTCCTGGCAATATCTGCCACGGCTTTGAATCATCACGAAATCTTGAAGCTCTTTGTACATTATTTGGAATTAATGAATCGGGAAGGAGTGCCTTGTTATTTCTGGATTTTTGGAGCTTGTTAATATCTTTGGGCTTTCTTTCATAATCTATAGCTTCTACATGGTCGAAAATGATACAATCTGTATCACTGCCTTCAGAAATATGCAAAGATTGGTTGTTCTGAGTATTTCTTGCCTAGAGAAAATAAGATAGAACACAAACCATGTAGATATCCAAGAAGTTTTTGAAGAAGAAATCTTCAAATGAGTCTATTCTCGATGTATGCAAGGATCAATGCAAACTCAGAGGGGTCACATTTTGATGCCTACAAATATTAGTCTTTAGGAGATCTTGAAAATACTTACTTGTAAATTTGCTCTAGATCAGGATAAAATCATATATCAATGATAAACTTCTTCATTTTGGGCATGTATTTATCAAAATTGCTTCAGGAATTTTCAGCAGTATCTATGTTATCCTCAGCAGTATTTTCAATTTGGCCCGAGTCATAGCTCAATGCATTTCTGAAATGTTTTTCATACTCTTTCGTCCCACTTAGTAGCTTAGAGGTTTCATTATTACTTTCTCCAAGATATTCTTCATTTGAAAATACTTCTGGGGGATTATTGGGGTTCTGAAGTATTCTTCAAAATTTCCCGAATACATCCTCATAAGTTTTGCATTCAGCATAAGCTAGGATTAGCAATAATTGCTGGTTTATATAATTATAAGGAGGCTTCTCGTCGTATTTAAGATCTAAAGAGTGAGGTAAAGAAGCATACCGCTGATCAGTTTAAATATTTCTCTAATCTGTGGTAAGTCATTCGTTTTAGGACTCCACAGGCATTTATGAGGATAGCTTAAAGCTATTTTCTTTATTTTCGCAACTTCAGACATCGTGTACTGATTATCTTCTCTCCATTTCAAAGATTCTCCGTAATAATCAAGCAGAATGAAGTACCAGCTCCATAGGTCATCTCTCCGAGAGAGCTCATTTCCAAGATGAGAGTTAAGGCTGGCAAAAGATATTGTCCCTCTGAAATAAACTCTTTTTCTTGGAGGGTAAATCCTTCCATTAACCTTGTTTATATGAACTTTAGCGAGTCCAAAGTCTGAAAGGACGATTCTGTTATCATTTCCTAGCACAAAGTTAGACGGCTTTATATCTCTGTGGATAAATCCTCTGTCATGGACTTGTTGGATACTTTCCAGCATCTGCATCAGAATTCTAGTGGCTAGGCTCCTGCTGAATTCTCCATTGAAGTTCCTATTTAACTTTGGTCAAATTTGGGCCGAGCAGTTCCATTGCTATATAATCAGGCATTTCTATCTACCTATGTAGTCGTCTTCGTCGGGTTTATTAACCGAGGCTCCATACAGTCTCGGAATGTGTGTTTTGTCTATAATTCGGGTTAATTTTGAAGCAAATTTTGTGAAAGATGAAATATTCATTGTGCCTCTCTGCTCAAAGAGATGACTTGAGAATGGGATTTGAAAGGAGAGAATTTTTATAGTAAAATTGGAAACTTTTGAAAAATAAGGCTTTTTGAGATTAGCCTGCTTATCGTTGTTGGTGAAGCTTGATTATTCTAGAGTCTCTTATGTTCAAGTTTTTGGTTGGTTTAGGACTAATTGAGATAAAATTTATAGAGTTTATTTAGTATAGAGGACAAAGTGCAGTTTTTACTAAAAATAAGCTCGAAACTCGACTCGAAAGATTATGAAGTTTTAAGGAAGTATTCAGATTAAAAGTGCAGGATTATGACTTCTATACTGAAGAGTAACTTTTAATACAAAATTTTCTCTTGATATTTAGGCTCGAATAAATATTTAAGATTTTAGCCTTCTGTTCACCTCAGTAATATTTTTATATTATTCCTCGATAAAATTGCGACTCCTAACTTTTGAAAAGTATTAATAATTTGGCTAATTTCTTACAAAACAATTTTCACACTCAAAATACATCCTTTCCTAACAATCCAATCTTAACCTTCCCAACACTTAATCTACTTTAACTCCGACCCCCTCAATGCCACTCTAAACCCATTCCTCTCACCCACCCACCATCTACAACCCTCAAAAATCCCTTAACCCCATCCACCACCCAAAAACCCAGTCTCTTCCCTCAAACCCCCCAAAATCCCACCCCAACCCCCCTCAAAATCCACCTAAAAAGTCTCTTTTCTTCTGTTCTCTAAATTCCTGCTATTTTTAGACCCCTCGCAAGTGAGGCCTCATCTGAAGTACAAAATTGAGTACGAAATAGCTAACAGAGCAGTGTGGGAGATAGTAAAGGGTCTGTATGTGGAAGGGTTTTTAAGAAATTTTTAAAGAAAATAGAAATTTAGTGAAGAAATTTGGAAATTTTTTAGGATTTTTGTGGATAAGAATTGTTTTGGGAAGATGGTAGGTTTAGAGTGGAAAATTTGGGAAATGGATTGGGAATAGGACTTACTTTGCAAAGCATTCATCACTTTGAATTCAAAATTTAAAACTCGATTACTGGTCTATAACAATGAATAAAATAATCATACTTTTTCTTTTCTTTCTGGCTTTTCAATCTTCAATGCAACATTCATATTCCTCACTCAATCTTTCGCTTCATAAACATTACCTATAAAACCAATCAGATCCATCTTCACAAAATCTAAAACCACACATTTGGCCCAAAATTCCAATCTCAACCCCAAATTCTACCTCTAATGCCCTCTAAACCCACTCCAAACTCAAATTTCCCCCATTTTCTAAAACCTCCTCAAATCCCTCAATTTTCCACTTACTAAAAGTCCCATGTCCCAATTTCCTCAAAATCTGATATCTCTTATTAACCACAGGCAATCTCTCTTCCTTCGGTGACTCCATTTTCTAACCTTATTTAAATATATGCTCCTTTAAAAGCTGATAAACCCAAATCAATATCTTTGATATCTTATGATTTCATCAGAAAATCTTGGCTACGAGATATGACCCAGATCGCAACCGTGACGCTGAGAAATGAAAAGGGCTAGAATAGGTTTGGATAGAGGGAAAGATTTCTTAGTGAAACAGCTTTGTGAGTCGTTAGGGAAACCTATGTTTAGTAAACAGCTTCGGAGGAGAAGTCAGAGGTCAGTTTGGAGATAGTGTCTTTGTGGCCATGGTATTGGAGATGGGGTGAAAGAGAGGGGATTTTTGAAGAATAGTTGATTATGGGGTGTTGTGTGACTTTTAGACAGGTTTTTTTGGAGAGTATATGACTGGCTTTTTACAAAGACAGTCTGCTGCTAGAGCAAGAATGATGATATAATTTTATAATAAGAAGGATTTGAGCAAATTATGATGAATAGTAAATATGAATTATCAAATTCAAAATAATCGCAATTATAGATATTTCAATACGCAGCTAATACCCTGGGGTTTTGGGGTTTTGGGGTTTTGGGG